GGCCCGGGCCGGCTGGGGGCGCTGGGGGCGGAGGCAGGTTTGGGCGCGCTGACTGGGAGCAAGTTCTCACAGGAAAGCCGAGACTCACCGGAAAAGAAGGGGAGAGCAATGTTGAGGCGGAGCGCCAGAGACGCTCCGAGAGATGCCGAGAGATGGAGAGATAGAGAGATAGCAACAGAGATAGGGAGGCACAAAGAGACCGCGAGAGGCGGAGGCAGAGCCCGAGGGAGGGAGAAACCCAGAGACACAAAGAGGTGAACAGAGAGGCAAAGGACAGAGACCAACACCGAGGACAGAAAGAGGGGGAAACGCAGGGAGGAAGAGAGGGTGAGAGGTACAGAGAGAGACACGCGGAGAAGGACAAAGAGTCCCGTACCCCGAGACAGAAAGAGAGCAGAGACCTGGGAAGAGGATGGAGATAAGGAGACAGAGCAGAGACATCCCATCCCCTCCGAGAAGCAGGCCCCAGGCAGAGGCGCGCCCACCCCCGTGTCCGGGTGCTCGGGGTGTGGGGGGTCTTAGGGCACGGGAGGGTGGGACAGAATGGCGGGGGGACCTGGCCACCACAGAGGGCTGGCCAGCCTCTCTAGTGCTGCCGTCCAACCCCCTGAAAACCCCAGACCCCAAGAGGTATCCTCCAGTGTCCTCTGCACCTCCACTGGGGTTGAGGACCCTCTGTCCATCCGCATGACTCCGAGCAGGCACCCGATCTTTCCAGGGCTCCCTCTCCCGGGCTATAAAATGAGGGTTTGGGTCTGCATGTGACCTCCCTGGCCGGGCTGAAGCAGGTGCGGAGGGACCCTGCGCAGGTGCACAGCTGCAGGGCACGCTGCTCTCTGGGTGGAAAAACAGACCAGGGACGGCAAGAGCTTTGCCCATGGGAACCGCTGGAGTCCTCTAGACCAGGGTGGGATGACAGCAAGAGCAACACCACTTGTTCTGTTCCTAGAATCACACGCCCTGGGAGGAGGTCTGTGTCCTGCCTCCAACTGTCGGAAAGTCTGCTCACCTTCCTGAACCTCAGTTTCCCTTTCTGAAAAACAGTTTTGTTTTGTTTTGAAAAACAGATGTTTCCAACAGTGTGCTGGAGCTAGTTCAAGCAAGCTGATCATTACAGTCACAGGAATTTTGGGATGGTTGTTAACCATGGCCATTATTAAACATTAAATTATGCAAACATGCAATTAAATAAATTCTATTAAAAACAAAGGTAATATACACTCATACATCCTAATTATTTTGCTTCGTTTTCCCATATTCTCTGATCCTGTGGTTCTTTACCTCTATTGTAGCTGTTTGATGAAGCTGCTGTGTGGGACTGGGCTACTATGTATCTCTTCCCAAAAATCCTTTCTGGGGCTGACCTTGGTAGCTTGAAATTAGTAGTGGGGATACTTACATCATGGAAATTGCCAAGTGTTACATACAGATCACCCTCCTCCTCCCCCGAGCAAGTTGGTCATTGAAGATTTCCCAGCATGTCTCTGGTTGAGATCTTCCGCCCTGTAGATCATGGAGACCTCTCCCATGCCAGGCCCTGAGCACTCGACCCTTTCTGCCACCCCATGGGGTAGAGGTCATCTCTATCAACCCATTTAGAGATGAGGAATCAGAGGTCCCAGGAAGACAAGTCACAACAGAAACTGACGGGCAGTGAGTGGTAGGACTGGGATTGGAACCCAGCTGCCTCCCAACTCCAGAACTTGTGCTTTTAATCACGATGGTTTCCTGTTTCCGGATAATAACAGCAGCAACTGCAGTGTGCAGCCAATCAAGGAGGATATCTAAAGTCAAGTGCTTCCCGGGACCTGGATTAGAGCTTCATTATTATCAGAATTCAGCACGTGAAGCCTAAGGAGTATTAAGGACAGAGGCAAAGGCGGTCGGGGAGAGTTCAGGGTGGGTTCTAGAAGCTTAGTGATTCTGTGGGGTGAGGAGTGGGATCCTGGGGTGGAATAAGGGGGTCAGACACCACCCACCTCCCCCAAGCCCTTCCCAGTCCTAGCCCAGACAGCTGCAGTCCTCCCGTGGACCACACGGGGGCAGCACATGCCTCCCCACACCTGCAGGACACACTTTTGGGGCCCACCCCTGTGCCCCTATTCCTCAGAACTGTTCCCACCCCATTTCCAAGATGGGGAAAAGTGAGGCCTACACAGAGAAAGGCTACAAAGTAGATGAACCTTGAAAACATATGTTTAGTGAATAAAGTCAGATCCAAAATGATTCCATTCACAAGAAATGTACAAAATAGACAAATTCTTAGAGACAAATCCTTAGTGGTTGTCAAGGGCTGAGAGGAAAGAGGGCTGGGAGTGCCTGTAATGGGTACAGGATTCCTTGGGGAATGATGTGAATGTTCTGGAATTAATGGTGATGCCTCCAGTTTCCTTGTGAATAAACTAAAACCCACTGAATTGTATGTTTCGAAGGGCAAATTTCGTGCTATGTGAGGATAGAGTTCAAAAAATTTTTAAATTAAAAAAGAGGGGGCAGGGGATCTGACAGTGGTCACAGCCCACGATGGGCCACTGGTGACCCCAGGTCCTCCTGCAGAGGCTGACGGACAGTTGGGGGGGGCTGAGGCCTGCTCCTTCTCCTCCTGCCCCCCCACCCAATCAGCCCTTCCCCCACAGCCTATTGTCCTTGAAGTGGGGCCTTCAGACCTTGGAATCTTAACCCCTGACCCACTTCCCCTAGCCTCAGTGTCCACTGAGCTCAGAGAGGAACTGCTGACCATCTGCCACCACAACCTCACCCCGGCCAGTGAACACTTGTGCCAGGGTGAACACTGAGTAAACCCAGAAACAGCCTTGGCCTGCTCTTGGTGGTAGAGAGCTTGCCTGGCCTGCAGGAGACCCCGGGTTCCAGCCCCAGCAGCCCCCCCACACACACACTGTGTCCCCACCAGGTGCATTCTGCATTTGCGAACAGGTCTTTATCTAGTGCCTACAGTGGGCCATGAGCACGGTGGACTGAGTCTGCTTTGCCAGGTTGACATTGGAGCGGGAGACGCAGGGCAGGCACATCTGATGGTTTCAGGAGCCCACAGATCAGCTGGGGCCTGGCAGAGAGGGGCTGGGCGGCGGGGGGTCTGGAACTGAGACTAGGAAGACGGCGAAGCGGGGGGGCCGGGCAGTTTCCTGGGCAAAGCAATAACCCCACCAGGCCCAGCACCCACCCAACCAGCAGGCTTCCTCCCAGTCTTCACCTCACCACGGAGACCCCAAGTGTGGGGGGCTTCTCTGGAAATGCCCCCCGGCTTCTCTGTCCAAGGCCTCGGGCTTTGCTTGGGCTGGAGAGAGGTTCTGGGCTCCAGTCCAGGGCGGGGTGTCTCCCGGGGTGCCCAGGATGGTGTTGTCACCTCGGGAGGCGTGAAGAACAGGGGGGGTGAGGGTGGGGACGGCTGTGGGCCTGTCCTTCCCAGGCCAACCGCAGCCTGCCTAAAAGGGCAGACAGATAATGAGTCCTTCCCGCCCCTGGCCCCAGAGAGGGAGGGGTTTCCTGACAGGAAATTGTCCTCCTCCAAGCCACCCCCCCCCCCAGATCTAAGCTCTCAGCAGCCCTGGCCCAAGTAGCCTGGGGACAGGACAGCAGTGGGGACACAGGGACAGGCACCGAGGACAGAGGTGAGTGTGCAGCGGGGAGGGGGGCACACCCTGGGGTCCCTGCAGAGAAGAAGCACAGCCCAGAGGTGGCCTGGACTGGTGGCCCCTGCAACCTGCACCTTGAACCAAGAAGGGGCTGGGGGCCGAGAGTGGCCGGCGCTGGTAGGTGCCAGTGGGAGGGCAGAGGAGACGGGCAGGGGGAAGCTGGCCCGAGGACCTGGGGGCTCCGGGGGCCTTGGAGAGCCCCTGGGTGGGATGTGCTCTGAATGCAGATGGGAAGACTGAGGCCGGGAAGGCACGGCGTCTCCAGGACGGGACACAGGATCGGCCGGGATTGGAGACGCCGAAGATGAGATTGTGTTTGGGGCGAGGATTAGACTGGGGTGGTATCATGGGCTTCGGGTTTGGGGACATGTGACCTGTGAGGACTGCGCTCCAACGTAGATGCTGGGGACTAGATGGTGACGGAATCTGCAAACAGAGGTGAGGGTGGCTGTGGGGGATTGGGGGCAGCGAGGAAGAGGAGGAGGGGCCCAAAGAGGGAAGCTCTGGTGGCCGAGACATCCTGGAGGCAGGGGGCTTGCTTGCGAGATGCCTCGGAAGTGAGTCAGGGGCCCGGCACTGGAGGCGACAGGGCACTGGAGAGGGCAGGATGTCGGGAGTCAGCTTGCAGAGACGGGTGCTGGAGCCAGGAAGGGGACAGTCAGGACCCGTTGGGGGCAAGCCTTGATGCCGTGTTTGGGGAGTGCTGGAAATAATTTGGGGGGGTACTGGATTCAGTCTGGGGGGATATAGGAGCTGGCCCGGGAGTGTCAAAGCTAGTTTGGGCCAGGCGTGATGGCCCACGCCTAAAATCCCAGCAGCTCAGGAGGCTGAGGCAGGAGGATCACGAGTTTAAAGCCAGCCTCAGCAAAAGCGAGGCACTAAGCAACTCAGTGAGACCCTGTCCCTAAATAAATACAAAATAGGGCTGGGATGGGGCTCAGTGGTGGAGCGCCCCTGAGTTCAATCCTTGGTACCAACAAAAAAGCTAGTGTGGCCAACACTGACATGGGGCGGAGGGGTGGAGACAGTTTGCAGGGATGTGGGAGGCAATTTGGGGGGATGATGGACGAGGCATGCGGAAGCCAGTGTGGAAGATGAGGGCAATCAGCACCTGGGGACACTGCTGTACTTGGGGGGGTGGCGTTGAGTGCACGCAGACACGGGGGACTCCCAGCAAGGGGTTGCCATGATGACTGCCCACCCTGAGGGCAGGGGACTGTGGAGACTAAAGGTGTTTCTAGAAACAGGTTAAGAAGCACAAGCTGAAGTCCAGAGACTGAAATGGGGGAAGGAGGGGTCACTACAGATAGAGGTACTCTGTGCCCAGCCCAGCCCATCAGGACCCCAGCACCTGGCCACTCATCCATCTGTGCACACTGCACTGTGCTGACCTGTCCCTCAGGTGCACAGAACCCTGTGACCATTGAAAACAACCCGTGGGCCGCATGTGGTGGTGCCCACCTGTACTACCAGCAGCTTGGGAGGCTGAGGTGGGAGGATCTCAAGTTCAAAGCCAGCCTCAATAACTTATTGAGGCCGTAAGCAACTTAATTAGGCCCTGATGAAAAACAAAATTAAAAAAATAATGAAAAGGGCGCAATGTATGGTAAAAGCCCCTGGGTTCTATCCCAGTACAAAACAAAACAAAAACTACAGGTCAGCAATACGAGAACCGGTGAATGCCTGATGCTTTATTTAACTGCGTCTCGTCATAGTGACACAATGGAATATCATACAGCTCTTAAAATAAATGGTGGATGTGAGTAAATCCCACAAGTTTGTAGTTTGAACAAAAGAGAAAAAAATCAGCTGGGCAGGGTGACCCATGACTGGAGTCACAGCTACTTGGGAGGCTTAGACCAGAGGACTACTGACCCCAGGACTTTGAGGCCAGTGCAGTCAAGTGAGTCCCCATCTCAACAAAACAGCAGCAACAAAACTCCATTAAGTTGCAAGACACAAGTGTGTAATTGAAAGTGGCTGAAACTATGTGAGGCAGGACATTATTTCTGAATGCATGGGGCAGGAGATCCAAGTCTACCTGATGGAGGGACAGCTCCTTTCCATTTCCTTGGGAGAAGGAGATGGAGGAGGACCCAGGAGAGGGTCAGGGAGTGGCAGTGTACTTGTCCCGCCCCCCCCACACACACTCACTGCATCTGCGAGGCAATTTTTTTGGTACCCACGATTGAACCCACGGGCGCTAAACCCCTGAGCCACATCCTCAGCCCTTTTTATTTTTTATTTAGAGACAGGATCTCGCTGAGTTGCTTAGGGCCTCACTAAGTTGCTGAGGCTGGCTTTGAACTTGGGATCCTCCTGCCTCAGCCTCCTGAGCCGCTGGGATGACAGGCGTGCGCCACCACTAAAAACCCCTGAAGCAAATGGAACAAAGGGTTGCATTCGACGTGGCTGGGAGCACAGGGGAGTTTATTAAGTTTGTTTTCTACACTTTTCTGAATGGTCAGACGACTTTGTCATTTGAAAAATTTCAGTTATTAATTCAGTTCGTTGGTCATTTCACGAGTGCTGGGAATGGACCCCAGGGCTCACACTTGCTGGGCCAGCGCCTCCTCTGAGCTGCAGCCCAGCCCTATTTCATCATTTTAAAGAGTGCTCTTCCGAGTCCCTGTGGCCTGCTCCCTAGTGACCTCTTCCAGAAGGACCCGCCACCCGAGGAAGGGACAGTCTGCCTCCTCCTTCCTCTGCTTCCTGCTAGCACCCATTCCCCGAGCGCCCGCCCAGTGCTTGGCACTGGGACCGCAGCAGTGACTGAGACCGCCACAGCCCTGCCGTCCCGGGGCTCCAGTCCAGTGGGGAAACAGATCTGTCCCCAGACGGTGATGACTCGGGGGGCAGGGCTGGCATGAGGGAGCCCAGGGGTTCTGGGAGCCCTGAGGGGTTCTGACCCAGCCTCGGGATGGGGAAGGTGTGCTGGAGGAGTGGGGCAGGGAAACCGAGTCCTGAAGCTTGAGGCCCGGCTTCTGTGTAGACGAGCGGCAGGACTGACACCCAGGGAGTCCCAAGTCAGGGGTGGGGACAGCAATGGGGAGACCACCGGCTGTGGGGACGGGCCTGAGCTCTGTCTCCAGGCACGGGGGAGCCATGGAAGGGTCAGGAGCCGGGGAGGGGTCTAGGAGATGTCAGGACTAGAGGCCGGAGTCCAGGGAGGATCTGGGGCAGAGCTGTGGGCAGGGCTCGGCTGGGCAGGGGCCACGGAAGGGAGAGGGACAGACCTGAGACACCAGTGACTGGAGAGAGAGACTTGGAGATGGAGCGGGCAGGATTCAGGAAGCTGTGAGCCCTGCAGGGACAGGGACCAGGTCTGCCTTAGTGACCACTGTGTCCCCAACACTTGCACAGGAGGGGTCCATAGAATTAGTGAGGGGTTTTGTTGTTTTAATTTTGTTCAAATACGCAAAACCAAATCCACCAGTGTAAAGTGTGCAATTCGGTGGCATTTAGCACACTGGCCACTTCTGTAGTTCCGGCCACGTTCATGTCCCAGGAAACCCTATACCCCTTGGAGGGCACTCCCAGACCCTCTCCCCAGCCCCTTCCAACCACCAATCTCCTTTTGTCCCTGAGGATCTGGATTTTCTTAGGAAGTGTTTGCTGGAGGGACGAGGGAGGCAGAGGGGACAGGGCCCCAGGTGAACAGGGGAGGTGGCAAAGGGGCCCAGGCAGGTGCCCGGCTGTGCAGCCTGGAGAGACTGCCCCCTGCAGGATCATGGAATCCTACGTGCTACCCGCCCCCCAGTGAGGTTCAGGGGGTACTGAGAGCTCAGATCAGGCCTCCCACAACGTGCTTGGCCCATCCATGTGCCAAAGTGGTCATCACTCTCCCTGGTCATTCTTTTTCCCAGGTGCCCGCCTGTCAAAATGCCCATCCTGAAGAGCCTAGGGGTGGCAGACCCTAAGGTGCCCCGAGCAGGGACCCTGCCCTTGAGGTCCTCTCGGAACCCCTTCGAGGACATTCCAGGGCTGGAAGAAGAATCTGGGGAGCTGGGGACTCTGCCCAATGGAACGTCTTGTCACCGCCGCGCCACCCTGGAGAAGCTGGCAGGCCTGTCCCCTTTCCGGCTGGGCTGGGCCCAGGGCCGACGGGCAGGCAGTCCCGGGGATGGGCCACCGCGCTCGTTCCTGGGCCGCGTGCTGCCCCCGGGGCTCCGAAGGAGCTCAGCAGACTTTGGCCTCCTGGCCCGGCTGCAGGGGACACGCGCCCACAGTGACGAGGAGGGGCCTGGGGAGGCTGCCCGGAGACTGGCCTTCCTGCGCCTGGGGCGTGGGCCCAAGCCTCGGCGGGCATCCCTGGCTGAGAGGGTGGTCCCAGCCGGGGAAGCTGCTCCTGAGCCTCCACCCAAGGTCCCGGAGCCCCCAAAGATGAAGGAGCCATTGTCAGGTGAGTGGGGAGGTCCCGACCCTCCATCTCCCCCTCATCCCCCACCAAGTGAAACCCGACCCCACCCCCACTATTCTTTTTTTTTTTTTTACTATCTTTTTAGTTATACACGGGCTCAATATCTTTATTTTTTAATTTATTTTTATGTGATGCTGAGGCTCGAACCCAGTGCCTCCCGTACGCAAGGCAAGCGCTGTGCCGCTGAGCCACACCCCAGCCCCCCGGTATTCTTGAACACAACTGGGGTCCCATCCTCTCTCCACCCGCTATTCCACCGGGTTCCCTCTCCAGCCTCACTCAACCTTCCGTCATTTCCAGCATCTGCTTTCAACCCCGTGGCCCTCCCTGACCCCAGGCCCGTCTCATTCCCATCCCACTCGGAACCCAATCCTAACTCCATCCCCAATCCACACCTTCAAGTTCAATTAGGTAACTCATGTCCCAACGTGACCTTCAACCTCTTCACCCTGCCTAACCTCCACCATCACCCCTAACTAGATCCACCCAAATCTAAGCACCAGCAGGAGGGTTTTCCCAGGTACCACAAACTGGGTGGCTTAAAACAACAGAAAATACTGCCTGGAGCCTCCTGCGGGGTCACGGCAAGCTTGGCCTTCCCGGGCGGGGCGTGGGGGGATCCGGCTGATCTTTCGCTTTGCTGCCTTTCCCCCTCCCCTCTTCTCCGTGTCTTTGTGTCTAAATTTTCCCTTTTATGAAGACATACTGGATTAAGGGCTATGACCCTATAACCTCTGGAAAGACCCCATTTCCAGTGAAGGCCACATTTTGAGTGCTGGGTTCCAGACTTGATATCTTTTGAGGGAGGCGGAGGGCTGGCACGCTTAATCCCTATCGCCAGCCCATCTCATCCTGTGCCCGGGCAACCCATCCCTAGGCCAGGCCTCGCGGTCCTCCTGGGTGCTTTTCTGTACCCACCGGGCACTCACTGCAGCCCCCTCGTGTGGGTCTCTATTTTGTATCGGAGCCTGTGCCCCCTCTTCAAACAGCGTCTTTAACGTCATCTCTGTGCCCCACACCTTGACAGCCCTGAGTGGGTCCACCTCACTCCACTCCCAGGCCTCCACTCCCTTCCAGCCCAATCCCATCCCCATGTTTGGTTTCACTCCTTCCCCCACTGGTCTCACTCCTGACCCCTAGCCCCAGGCCCAGCTCAGCACCCACCCTCCACTCCCTCCCACCCCTCCTCACTCAGTCCTGTACCACCCAGTCCTTCCCCAGCCCCCAATTTCAACCCCAACCCCAATCTCAACCTCCTTAGCACCCTCTGCACCCACCCCACTCCCAAACCCAAACCCCACCCTCACCCTCCACCTTCATTCAACTCCATCCACATTCCTGGCCCCAATCTCAACTCGGGTCCCTGCAACATCTTCAGACTCAGGGCCCTCTGAGCTCACCTGCACCTCCCTCCAGCCCACCCAGACCCCAGCCCACCCCGTGCCACTCTCGATTCCTTTCCTGTTCCCCTCTGCAGATTCCTAACCTGGTCCCAATGCCGGGCTTGCTCATCCCAACCCCATCCTCCTCCCATCCTCCTCTGGTCCCATCTCGGAAACTCCATCCTTCTAGTCAGCACTGTCCCCAGCCCCACCTTGATTGAGCCCCTGCCCGGTTCCCAGCCCTCCCCCCAGGCCCATGCTGCTGTTGTGCCGGGGACCTCCCAGAGCCCCTTCTGTCCTCTGATGCCCTCCACATCCTGGCCAGAGGCTATTTCGGCCCCTGCTCCCTGGGGACTGGGAGGGCACTGCAGGGAGGTGAGGAGGGGGTGACTGGAGCCCCTGCCTTCTGGAAACGGATGGGCAGAAATAGCGCTGGCCAGGAAATAGTTTCTCTGCCAGGGAGGAAGTGGAGGGGGAGGTGCAGGGTAACTCCTGGCGCGGACCCTCCCTCTGCCTTGGCCAGAGCCTCCCAACCCCATGACTCCCTTTCCCCGGGCGCGTCTAACATTTCCAAAGTGCCAGCTCACCCCGACAGCCATGCCAACCCCCCAAGACCCCATCTACCGTCCCCACATCTTCCTCCCTCTCCCTGCTCTGCCCTCGCCCCCTGGTGGTCTCCATCTGGCACCCTTCACCTGGCTTGTGTCTTGGGCTCAGCCCTCCACCTTCCGGGACCCTCCTCTATTTCCCCCCCCCCCTTCCCAGTTCTCATCCCTCCCTCCAACCCTGACGCACATTTCCCTCGCCAACCTCTGGCTTTCCTCTGCCTGAAGCCCTTCTGGATCCCCTGACCCCTGGCCCCTTCCCTTCTTCCTTCCCTCCCCCTTGCACCCCCTCCCCAGGCCTCCCCCTCCTCCTCTCCACCCTCTTCCTCATCTGACACCTTGTAGTCTTGTGGCCCCCACATCCCGTGGGCAGGTTCCCCTCCCACCTTCAAAGCTCCTGCCCCCTCCCTCCTTGGTGCCCTGGCCCTCCCTCTTGTCACCTCACCTCCCGGCCCTCCACCCCTGCCCTCCCCCACCCCGACCCCCATCTTCCCTCCACCCTCTCTTGACTTCCTCCTCCAGCCTGGTCCCCACTTTCTCCCACCCGCACTCCACTTCCCTTCCCCTCCTCCCCCACCTTGCCCCTCGCCTGCCCCTTCGCGGAACCCATCCCTGCGTCCTCTCCTAGCCACCGGTCCCCGGGCCGGGCCTCGGGCGGGCGCCCTGACCTCCCTCTTCCCCACAGTGCTGGAGATCCTGAACTTGATCCAGCAGCGCGAGCTGGCGCGGGCCGACGAGCACATCTTGGAGCTGGAGGCGGAGGAGCTGGCGTCGTCGGGGGGCGCGCCAGGGCCGCCGGTGGCGGAGGGCGCGAGCGGGGGCCGCCGAGCGCGGGACGTGGCGCTGCTGTACGAGGCCCTGCAGCGCGAGCTGTGGGCGCTGGTGCGCGAGACGCTGGCGGGACCCGGGCCCGGCGCGGGAGCCGGGGCGGGCGC